GAAAGGGTAAGAAAACACCACAGAGGAGAATTTATAGAAACAGAGAGAGACCCTTCAAATTCAGTTGGATTTTTAGGTTGGGAACCTCCTCCCCTCTCTGTCCCACACCCAAATGAAAGCTTTACTTCATTTCTTCACATCTGGGAGAACTGTTGTTCAATATTAATGAATCAACAACCAACAAACATACATTAAATGATACCAAGTTCCAAAGATGGTCGAAAAAAGAATCTTCTTAATCAAATTCACCAACCATTTATTAAATACCTACTGTGTGTAAGGCACCAAATATAGCCAGTGGGGGACAATTGATGGGGCACATCACAAACATAATCACGGCATTGCTTGGTGTTGCTGAATTGCTAGGTTTGTTTTTTAGTTTTTCGAATTAATTTTTAACATTCTTTTCTTTTTAAATTTTGAGTTCCAGATTCTCTCCCTCTCTCTTACCTCTCCCCTACCCACCAAGAAGAAGACGGACAGTATAATATCAATTATACATGTAAAATCATGCAAAACATTTCTATATTAGCCCTATCACAAAAAAAGTGAGGAAATTCTACTCCAATCGGCACTCAGAGGTCCTCAGTTCTCTCTCTGGAGGGGGATAGCATCTTTTCATCATCAGTCCTTTGGACTGTGTTGGATCATTGTGTTGATCTTTCACAGGTGATCATCACTACAACGCTGCTGTTACTGTGCACAGTGATCTCCTGGTTCTTTTCACTTCACTTTGCATCAGTTCATATAGGCCTTATCATGTTTTGTTTTGTTTTCTGAAACAACTTCCCTCTTTATTCCTCATCACACACAATAGTATACTATCACAATCATATACCGCAGCTTGTTCGGCCATTCCCCAGTGGATGGGCATCCCCTCAATTTCCACTTCTTTGCCACCACAAGAAGAGCTGCCTTAAATATTTTTGTACATGCGGGTACTTTTCCCATTATTTTGATCTCTTTGAAATACAGACCTAAAAGTGGTATTGCTGGGACAAAGGGTAGGCACCATTTGATAGCCCTTTGGGCACCAACAGTAATGTACCTATTTTCCGTCATCTCCTCCAGCATTTATCATGTCTGATAGGTGTGAGGTGGTACCTCAGGGTTGCTTTAATTTGCATTTCTTTAATCAATGGTGATTTAAAGCATTTTTTTTCATATGACTATAGATATCTTTGATTTCTTCTTCTGGAAACTGCTTGTTGATATCTTTTGACCATTTACCAACTGGAGAATGGCTTTTTTTTTTTCATAAATTTGACTCGGTTCCATATATATGAGAAATGAAGCCTTTATCAAAGAAACTTGTAAAAATGTTTGATATTACTTCATCATTTATGATACCTTTTAGTAATTTTGTTGGATAGGTTATTTTTGGTTGTGATCCTAGCTCCTTTGCCTTCCACTCCTCTAACGTGGAAGCTGCTACATCTTGTGTTATCCTGACTATGGCTCCATGATATTTGAATTATTTCTTTCAGGCTGCTTTGCAGTATTTTCTCCTTGACCTGGCAGCTCTGGAATTTGGCTATAGTATTCCTAAGAGTTTTCATTTTGAGATCTCTTTCAGGACATGATCAGTAGATTCTTTTGATTTCTGTTTTACTCTTTGGATTTAAGATATTGGGGTAGTTTTCCTTTATAATTTCTTGAAAGATGATGTCTAGGTTCTTTTTTGGCTTTCAGGTAGTCTAATAATTCTTAAATTCTCTCTCCTTGATCTGTTTTCCAGGTTAGTTGTTTTTCCAATGAGAGATTTCACATTTTCTTCTAGCTTTTCACTGTTTGATTGCTTCTTGATTTCTCATGGAGACATTAGCTTCTACTTGCCCAATTCTAATTTTTAAGGAAGTATTTTCTTCAGTGAACTTTTGTATCTCTTTTCCCATTTGACCAATTCTGCTTTTTAAGGAATTCTTTAAAAAAGTTTTTTTTTGTTATATTTTGAGTTCTGAGTTGTCTCCTTCCCTCCCTCCCAAACCCACATTAGAGAATGACAACATGTGACATTGATACCATACAATACATACTTCCATATATTAGTTCTTCCTTCATAAGTCCTTCATAGTTGATATGAGTGATCATGAAGTCATTCACAGTTACTCTGAACAATATTGTTGTTAGTGTATACAAAGTTCTCTCGGTTCTGCTCATCTCACTCTGCAAATCTTTCCTTTTTTTTCTAAAACCAACCTGCTCATCGTTTCTTACAGAACAATAGTATTCCATTACAATCATATATCAGAACTTATTCAGCCATTCCCCAATGGATGGGCATCCCCTCCATTTTCAATTCTTTATCACCACAAAGAGAGCTGCTATAAATATTTTAGAACGTAAATTTGTGTGAACTGTTTTGTAATTGTGCTTATATAGTTCCTGGGTTTGCATCGCATCGCATTTAGACTCCCAGGTATTTTATATTGTCTACAATTATTTAAACAGAATTTCTCTTTGTGTCTCTTGCTGTTGAACTTTGTTGGTAATATAGAGAAATACTGATGATTTATGAGGGTTATATCTTTGCTAAAGTTTTTAGTTATTTCAATTAGTTTTTCCATTAACTCTCTGGGATTCTCTAAGCATATCATCATATCATCTGCAAAGAGTGAGAGTTTTGCTTCCTTACTGCCTAGTCTAATTCCTTCAATTTCTTTTTTCTTTTCTTATTGCTATAACTAGCATTTCTAGTACAATATTGCATAATAGTGGTGACAATGGACATCCTTGCTTCACCATTGATCTTATTGGGAAGTCTTCTAGCTTATCCCCATTGCAGATAATGCTTGCTGATGGTTATAGATTCTACGCATCATTTATTCCTATGCTTTCTAATGTTTTTGACAGGAATGGATGCTATATTTTGTCCAAAGCTTTTCCTGCTTCTATTGAGACAATCATATGATTTTTGTTGTTTTCGTTATTGATGTGGTCAATAGTTTTCCTAATATTGAACCAGCCCTGCATTCCTGGCATAAATCCCACCTACTCAAAGGGTATGATCTTTGTGATATTGCTGTAATCTCCTTGCTAGTATTCTATTTAAAATTTTTGCATCAACATTCAGTAGGGAAATTGGTCTACAGTTTTCTTTCTCTGTTTTGGCTCTTCCTAGTTTAGGTATCAGCACCATATTTGTGTCTTAAAAGGAATTTGGTAGGACTCTTTCTTTGCCTGTTTTCTCAAGTAGTTTATATAGTATTAGAATTAATTGTTCTGTAAATGTTTAGTAGAATTCACTTGTGGTCCTGGTGACTTTTCCTGGGGAGCTCATTGGTGGCTTATTCAATTTCTTTTTCTAAGATAGGATTATTTAAGTATACTGTTAATCTGAGCAATTTGTATTTTTTGTAAATATTCATCCATTTCACTTAGGTTGTTAGATTTATTGGCATATATTTGGGCAAAATAACTCCTAATAAATGCTTTACTTGCTTCTTCATCGGTGGTGAATTTACCCTTTTCATTTTTGACGCTGGCACTTTGGTTTTCTTCTTTCCTTTTTTTAAAATCAAATTAACCAATGGTTTATCTGTCTTCTTGTTTTCCCCTCCATAAAACCAGATCCTAGTTGTATTTATTAGTTCAATGGTTTTCTTATTTTCAATTTTATTAATCTCATTTTTGATTTTCAGTATTTCCAATTTGGTGTTTAATTGGTGATTTAAAATTTGTTCTTTTTCTCTTTTTTTTTTGTTGTCGTTGCATACCCAATTTATTGATCTGCTCTTTATTTTATTTTATTTTATTTTTTGGCAACGCAATTGGGGTTAAGTGACTTGCCTAGGGTCACACAGTGCTCTTTATTTTATTGATACAAGCATTTAGACATATAAAATTTCACTTAAGTACTGCTTTGGCTGCATCTCATAAATTTTGGTATGTTGTCTCATTGTTTTCATTCTCTTGAATGAAATTACTGATTGTTTCTATGATTTGTTGTTTGATCCACTCATTCTTTGGGATTAGATTATTTAGTTTCCAATTAATTTTTAATCTATACACATGTCTAACCTATATCAGATTGCTTACTGTCTCAGGGAGGGGGTAAGGAAGGGAAGGAGGGAGGGATAGAATTTGAAACTAAAAACTTAAAAAAACCCCCAAATGTTAAAAATTGTTTTTACATGTAATTAAGGGAAAATGAAATATTATTTTAAAAAACACTTAAAATTTTTAAGTCTATGTCTCCATGGCCTTTTATTGAATATAATTTTTATTACATTATGATCTGAAAAGGGTGTATTTACTATTTTCTGCTTTTCTGCATTTGGTTGTGAGGGCTTTATGCCCTGCACAAGTATCTATCAGAGCAGCAAGAACTTTGCCAGACTGCAGAGCCTCAGTTTCTTATCTGTCCAAAGAAGGAGTTTGGACCAGATGGGCTGCCTACTTGTGACTTCTTCTCGGGTTTCTGTAAAGGGAATTACACTGCATGCCAGGCTCCAACAGGTTTTCCCCTAGGTCATATGTGGCTAGATGGGGCTTATCAGCCAGGAGCTGCCATTATGATGGATTCATGTGGAATGGCTTATTCTGATCCACAGACTCCTAGCCCTGGACCTCCAGCCTTCTACCACAATGTTTTTTTTTTTTATTTTAATTCAGTTTTATTTTATTTTCAGTCCCAAATTCTCTCTGTTTCTCCCCCTGCCCCTACCCTATTCATTGAGAAGGCAACACATTTCTGCATTAGCCATGACTTGGCAGGTAGACTCTCAAGTATTTTATACTGTCTATAGTTATTTCAAATAGAATTTCCCTTTCTATCTCTTCCTACTGGATTCTGTTGGCAACATAAAGAAATGTTGAGAATGTAAAAGGGAAAGGTTCAGAAGAGGAGAGTGGCTGGGGGGAAGACGATAAGCTCAGTGTTGGACACGCTGAGTTTAAGACGTCTAGGAGACATCACTTCACCTCTGTCTGCCTTAATCCACTAGAGCAGGAAATGGCAAACCACTCCAGTATCTTTGCCAAGAAAACCCCATGAACAGTACGGTCCGTGGAGTCACGAAGAGTCGGACACCAGTGAATGCCTGAGCAGCAGCAGCAACAAGGAGACATCCAGTTTGACATACCCAGTGGGCAGTTGGAGGTCAGCATAGAGGCTGGGCTGGGCAAGTTGATCTGAGAGTCATCTGCATAGAGGTGCTAATTGAAACCATGGGAACTGATGAGAAGACCAAGTGAAATAGTATCTCTGAAATAGCATCTGGAGGAAATCCCAGTAACCCAGGGAAGGACTCCATATTTGTCAGAAACTGCTGCACAAACTCGACAGTCTGTCAGAAACTACGTTTAGAGCAAGCCCTCAGAACATATACCAAGGTAAGCTCCAAATAGTTCCATGGCCTAGATGTACAGTGTCACACCATAAACAAATTTGAGAAGCAAAGACAAAATTACCTTCCATATCTATGGATGGGGAAGAGGTTGTGACTGGTCAAGTGATACAGAGAGTCATACAAGATAAAATGGACAATTTTGATATCTAAAAATATTTACACTTTTGCACAAACAAATCTAACATAGTAAAAAGTAGTAGGGAAACATAACTGGGAAAATTTTTTCAACAAGTTTCTCTGACAAAAGTCTCATTTCCTAGATAGCCAAGAAACTGATTCAAATTTGTAAGGCTCGGAGCCATTGCCCAATAGATAAATGCTCCAAGGATATGAAGACAGTTTTCAAAGGAAGGTATCCAAGTTATCACCAATCATGTGAAAAAAAAGCATTAAATCCCAAGGAATTAGAGAAATGCAAATTAAATCCAACCTGCAGAAAGGGTTCCTTGTTTTCTCAGCGCCCCTCCCCACCCTGCTCCTGCCCCTGCCTTCTCTCCCCTCTCCAGTCTTGGGATGAGAGAAGGGGAAGCCCCAAAGTGTGAAAGGGCTGGGGAGAAGGACAAAGTAGTGGTTGTTCCATCATGGGGAGGTGAGAGTTTGGCAAAGCTGTGTAAGCCAGTCCTTTGTTGGGTGGACTGCCAGGCTTGGGTCCTGTTTCCTGGGAGCTGGTGGAAAGGGGGCAGTGCCATCTGCTGGAGACCAATGAACAAAGCGACACACTGTCTAGTCAGCCAGAGGAGCAGTGGGCAGGGTGGAGTTGTGGCTAATTCGATTCCACAAACTTTTAAGAGGCACCAGTATGTATCACACCTTAGGCGAGGCCAAGAGGATGCAGAGATGACCACTAAAGAGTCCCTGCTCAGGGGCAGAGAGATGAGACATCACCTTAAAGGAAGATGAGGATTCCAAGAGGTTGAGGGGAGGAGAAAGGTGATGAGGCACAGTCTGGCCAAAGTTTGGTGGAATGGAGAGTACGGAAGGGGAGAGATGTGAAATAAGCATGGAATATGAGCTAGAACCAGACTAGGGAGAAATTTTGATGTCAAACCAAGGAATTCATATTTTATTCTAGAGGCAATAGGAAGCTACTGGGTAAAAAAAAAACCCTAAGGTTATTGAAGAGAGGTGATGGGGGCCTGTAGCAGGGGAGGACCTCAGAGGCTGTGACCCCGACCTGGGGGACCGGAACTGAAACAGAGAAGTCCAGAGGAGCGGTGGCATTAAGGGGGAAGATGTTTAAGACAGGCTAGGTTTGAGATGTGGGCCTGGAGCTCAAGAGTGAGAGGAGGATTGGGAGTCATCTGTGTGGAGATGAAAATTAAACCCATGGGAGCTGATGAGGTCAACATGATGGAGAAAAAGGAGGAGAGGGACCAAGCTAGAACCTTAGGAGCTTGGGTATCAAGCTGGAGGCCAAACAGATGAGAAAACCAAGGCCCAAGGAGGTGAAGTGACTTGCCCAAGGTCACACAGGCAGGAGTGAGAATAAAGACTAGGGTTAGAAGAGTGAGGCAGAGGGAGAGGTGATGAGAGGAGATGGATGAGAAACAGAGACAGAGAGGAAGACTATTGATTAGAGAAATGCAAATCAAAACAACTCTGAGGTACCACATCACATCTATCAGATTGGCCAAGATGACAAAACAAGAAAATGATAAATGTTGGAGAAGATGTGGGAAAATTGGAACACTAATGCATTGTTGGGGGAGTTGTGAACTGATCCAACCATTCTGGAAGAGCCATTTGGAATTGTGCCCAAAGGGCTATAAAAATGTGCATATCCTTTGACCCAGCAATAGCACTTCTAGGGCTGTATCCCAAAGAGATCACACAAATGGGAAAATGACCCACATGTACAAAAATATTCATAGCAGCTCTTTTTGTGGTGGCCAAGAAATGGAAATGGAGGGGATGCCCATCCATTGGGGAATGGGTGAACAAGTTGTGGTATATGAATGTAATGGAATACTGTTGTGCTATAAGAAATGATGAGCAGGTAGACTTCAGAAAAACCTGGAAAGACTTGTATGGTCTGATGCTGAGTGAAGTGAGCAGAACCAAGAGAACGTTGTACACAATAACAGCCACGTTGTGCAATAGACTTAGCTCTGCTCAGCAATACAAGGATCTAAGACATCTCCAAGGGTCTCATGATGGAAAATGCTACCCACATCCAGAGAAAGAACTGTGGAGTTTGAATGCAGATAGAAGCAGACTGTTTTCACTTTTTTCTGTTTTTTTTTTTTCTCATGGTTTTTTCCTTTTGTTCTGCTTCTTCTTTCACAACATGACTAATGTGGAAATATGTTTAATATGATTGTGTATGTATAACTTATATCAGATTGCTTGCTGTCTTGGGGAGGGGGAAGGGGAGGAAGGGAGGTAGAAAAAATTTAGAACTCAAAATATTATAAAAGTAAATGTTGAAAACTAAAGATAAATAAATACATTGTAAAAAAAAAGAGAGAGACAGATAGACAGAGAGACAAAACAGAGATCAAGACAGAGAGAGACAGAGAGCAAGAAAGAGAGGGAGAGAGAAAGAGAAACAGAGAAAGAGACAGAGACATGGAGAGACATAGATATAGAGAAAGAGAGAAACAAGCACAGAGACAGAGAGAAAGAAAGACAGAGAAAGAGAGACAGAAAGAAAGAAAAATTTCAGAGGTTGGAGCATGGGTGTGGTACAGTAGTTGTGCAATCATTTAAAAACGTAAATTGGCTGATGGGTCCTGTCCAGCCCAGTCACTGCAGGGACATCATGTTCCAGGTGTGAGTATGCATGGGGAGCTGGAGTGAGAGAGCCCTGTGGCTCCTGTCAGCATGGATCTGGGGAGTCCTGGCAGTATGGTCATCTGGGGCACCAGAGCAGAACCCCTGGACATGGGAGGAGAGCTGTGCCCATTGTGCCCCAGTGCCCCCTCCAAGGAGCACGAGCTGTAAGGACTCTTTGTGGTGCAGTAGATGGGAAGTTGAGGTTTTGGAGATGGGGAGCGCTAAGAGGATGGGGGTGTGTGGGTGACCTAGACTCTTCAGTGATGTGACAAGAGAAATAGAAATTCTGTTTGCTTGGGAGTGCAGTGAAGACCAGCTCAGAGGGCTCTTGACCCTTTGCCATCCGTCTGCTACAAGGCTCTTGGTTGAATGGAGCTGGCACCAGGCTCCCCGAACATCGAACATCGTTTTCTAGGAGGCTCCTTGAGGCTGCCATCATGCAGTTAGGCCAGCAGGGGGAGCTGTGATTTTTAGCTCCCTTCACCACTACAAATGACCTCCGCTGTGCAAACGAAGATCCTAGTCAATGGCCACAGCAGCGTTCTAGATTTAGAGTTGGAAAGCACATTAGAGGCCATCTGGTTCAACCCCCTCATTTTACAGATGAGAAAACTGAGGCCTGGGAAGGGGAAGAGAATTGTCCGAGATCACACAGGTAGTTAGGGTAGGGCTAGGATCCACTATGCAACATCACCTCCTGGCTCAGGCAATAATTACACTCCACTGTCTCTGCTCTATACCAGACCCCAGATGTGTAGAGGAGATCCCAAAATTGAGTTTAATTCAGCTACATTATTCACATTCAGATTAAGTCAACAAACATTTATTAAGTGCCTACTATGTGCCAAGTGCTGTGCTGAGTGCTGAGGATATGAGATAAGAGAGGCAAAGACAGTTCCCATTTGTACAAGTCATAATGCTAGGGGCTTAGGTTACACAGACAAACCACAAACCAAAGCAAACGAAAATGACCCGTGAAAATGTGGAGGTAGCAGGGTGGGGGAGGAGAAGGAGGCTTAGAGTCTACCCTGGAGAAGCAATTCTTATCCAGGTAAACAGCTGCAAGATAAGAAAAGGAGGAGCTAGAGGAGGAAGTGAGCCTTAGCAATTAGGGGGATGGGAAAGACTCCCTGTGGAAGAGGCACCCTGGGAGGAAGATGGCATTGTTACCTCTCAAGAGGAAATGGAGGTTCAGAGAGGCTAAGTAGTTAACCCAGTGTGGCACAGTTAGTACCTGTCAGAGTCTGGATTCAAAGCCAGATCTTGCTACCTGGAAGGCCATCTATCCATCCATTCATTCATCCATCCATCCATACACACACACACACACACACACACACACACACACACACACACACACATTCAATATATTAATATATGGACCTATATAGTATTTTATTAAACCAGCACAAATCTGCTTTCTCTCTCTCCTACCCCTAACACCTCCACTCCCCAATTGAGAATGAAAGAAAAACCATTATGAACAAATAGTCAATCAAAACAAATATCCACATTGGCTACGTCCTAAAACATAGGCCTCATTTTGCACTCTGAGTCCTTCATCTGTCTATCAGGAGATGGGCAGTATGTATCACCATTAGTCCTCTGGTCATTACACTGGTCAGAGTTGTTATTCTTTCAAAATTCATCAGAGTTTCTCCACAGCTCTGGCCTTTTTCATCAGGAATACTTGGAAATCCCCTATTTCACTAAAGGTCCATTTCCTCCTACCCCCACCTCCACCTGTAGCATTATACTCAGTTTTACTAGGTAAGTTATTCTTGGCCATAAAGTCCATATCCTTTGCCTTCTGGAATATCATATTCCAAGTTCTCTGTCCCTTTAGAGTGGTGGCTGCTAAATCCTGTGTGATCCTGACTCTGACATGTCTCCTCAGTACTTTCAGTTTTTTCTTTCTGGCTACTTGCAACATTTTTTCTTTGATCTGGAAACTTTGAGGTTTGGCTATGATGTTCCTAGGAGCT